TACGACATTTTTAGTGCCAGATATCCTCTCTACTGTGTAATCATACAGYCGAATCCGTATTAACCATCGTGCAATGGTCGGGTCTGTCAGGCTAAAGTCCTTCTGGAGGACAGAGGCGACCGCGGTGGGATCCACTCTCAAGATGAACCGTCGTCCATAGATATAATGTCTGAACGTGTCTAGACACCGCAGAACAACTAATACTTCCTTCTTGAATTGACTGTAGTTTCGCTCTGCCGTGTTAAGTGTTCTACTCTCAAATCTTAATGGTCTTTTCTTCCCTTCAGTGTCCCTCTGAGACAGCAACCCTCCTACTGAACAAGGTCCAGCATCCGTGGCTACTATGAAGGGTTTCCCAGCCTTATCATCAAAGAACGGCACGCCCAGTACGCGTCCTCCCTCCTTAAATTCGTCTTTAAGTTCTTGCATAGCGAGTTCCTGCGAAGAACCCTAGTAGAATTTTTCAGTCTTTCGAAGGAGTAACCTCAATGGCTCAGCCTTCTTCGCATACCCCCGTATGAATATACGCCAGTAACCGACCACTCCTAGAAACTGTTAGGCCTCGGTTGGGCTATGTAACGGTGTCGGCCAGTTCAGAAGTTTGTCTAACTTTGCCGGATCTGCTCGGCGTCCTCTTGAGTCACAGATAAAGCCCAAGATCTTAATAGTCGAGACGACCCATCGACTCTTTGTTCCGCTGACTGTTAAATTCGCTTCGTCCAGCTGCTCGAGTACCGCGCAAATATCCGTTAGGTGCTGCTCAAAAAATCTTCTAACTCCAGGTACAAGCTCTGTCTCATCCCTGTCTACTGGCCATTTTATAGGAAAGTCATCCAGAAAAACTTCAACCTTATCAGGGATGAAGTCCTTGAGGACGGCTACCATGGCTCTCTGAAAAACGGCTACCCCATTAGTCCAACCCATAGGAACGACCATCATTTGTATTAGTCCCAATGGCGTATGCATAGCCGTAAGGTGTTTGTCCCTAGGGTCAAGTGGTACCTCATCATAGCCTGAGAACAGATCACAGACCGAATAAATCGACCTTCCTGCGGCGCCTTCTGCCAGTAAATCGGCGTGTGGCACGGAGCCCACGTCTCCTATCGTCACCGCGTTGACCTTCTGAAGGTCCTGGATCCATCTGATCTTGCTTTTTGGCTTTCGTAGGAAGAACCATCGATTAACATAAGCGCTATCAGATGGTTCCGCAACATGTGAAACCATCTTTTCTTTCAGGAAAGCGATAACTTCTTCCTTCTCCTTCTGGGCGTATTTCCCTCCTGCGTCATTCCAAGGAACATGTGGAATCGTGTAAATCCTCGCTGGCTTAGCGTATCGAGGGTCAATCATATCGCGCTCCGCGTCGCTGAAAGCTATTGCCTTATCACATGTCTTCAGAATTTCTATCACACGTTCTCGCTCCTGTGGCGTCAGATTTCCATCCCTGCTATCCTCTCTTCCGTTAAGCGTTGTGGCTCTTTTTTCTTTCTTTCTTTGATTTCTTTCGCGATCTCTTCATCCGATATCCCTTCCAGTGCAGATCGCTCGCGGCCCACCACCGCTGGCTTAACTTTTTGAGCTACTCGCTTGTGTCGCTTGGGTAGCCCCCCATAGGGGGCCGTGCCCTTAAAAAAGACACGGATACCACACTGCCAAATTTCTCATCCTTTTCCTTTGGGTACGAGTTGCCGTCCACTATTAGCCGACTCCCTAAATCCTCCACCTCCACGATCCGACCTTCTTTCTCTATGAGCAGTGGTCCATAATTCTTCTTGCGAAATCGCACCGCGCGGCCGGAGATAGGTAACGACTTAATCTGTTCACTGGGTCTTGCACTCACAGTGAAAGCTGCTCTGTTCCTCGGATCCCGAGGCTCCACTGTCTCAATCATTACCCGCGTCCCGTCTAGCTTCCTAATGGACAATGTTTGGCTCCCATCAGGTCGCTCTATCGTCACCGCATGCACGTGGCTCAGCCACGTTCGACCCAAGAGCAGGTCGGAGCTGCAGTTCTTGACTGCAAAAACAGGCAGGGTCACTCGTACCCCTTGGACCTCTATGGCTGCCTTGTGACAAACCCAGTGATCTGTTGCTTTCTCCCATCAGCCGTCTCTATCTCGAATAGGTATGACCTATCGAGGCCCAGTCCAACTTGTACTGCCAGGTCCTCGT